ATATGAATTTTGACCGGGTAATGTGAACGGCATATATCCCAATCCTGGCGATGGAAACGCCAAGTGGACCTAGGGTCTAGGCACCATGTCTGAAGGATTACTTTTGGTTCCAAATGTACCATACCAGACATGTTTGGTGGACACAGGGCTTTATGGTACCTGCTGTGGTAGTTGTATCTTGAAATGGTCCGCATCAATCAAACCACAAGGAATGTAGCTTTGTAACAATATGTCATATGAGAAAACCGCCTGAACACAACAGTTGTTTACATATCATACACAACTCACTCTTAGAGCACCAACAGGCTGTATGAAAGTGTTTATGCTTAGAGCATAGGGGAGTCTGTTCGACATTCAGTCTCCTCTTCACCCGCATCTTTTCGGACCGGTGCCATGTTATATGTGTTTGTGTCCGTTTCAGCATCATTTACTCTTTTCAGAAGCCCCTTCTCAGACAGCCACACAGCAAGGCGTGAAACTACTAAAATAGCCCCTGTGGTGATGAGCATGATGGCAGTACGAAAAGGGAACAAGCGACGGAAGTGACCGTCCTCCCGTATCTGGTCCCACGGCAGGGGCAGCACGTCAGGAAGGCCTATTGAGGGTTCTCCAACCAGAGCTCTCAGCAGTATCGCCAACACAAAGCCAAAGCAGGCCCCGTACTGGTTCACCCACCGAGATAAGTAGAAGGTGCATGTCACCTGGGGAGTCATCATTGAATACATGACATCTGCGCTGATGATCCAGAATAGGTGGATTGAACTCGATGTCATTGCCAGGCATGCCGCCATCATTCCACACAGGAGGATCGACCCCCTAACCACCCAAATAATCATTGCTTCTGATGCCTGAAATAAAGGAAATATTTAAGTTAATTTTACTGAACATAAGTGTGGTATCACACTGCTGATTTTTGAGCAAGGGTGCAGGTTTGCATATACATAGTAAGGACATGTCCCTACCAATATTGTGGGAGGACAGCATTGTCCCTATCGGTATTTTAAACAAGTATTTAACCTCTGTAAAGATGGCCTTCCAATAAAACTAGCATATCTATGCAGCAGAATGATGCAAATACTTTTGAAATTGGTGCTACAGAACCAGAAAAAAATGAGAAAGGTAGAAAACCTACAACTACCAGAATGCACTGTGCCGCAACATTCCCGCTGGTGGATGATGTAACAACGTAAACGATGGCAGCTAGATGGCAAGGAATGATCTTGAATCATAGGCAACTCAGTCACCAAATCTTGGTGTATATTTGATTAATGCAGCATAGTATAACTGTTTGATCTCAGTTTTTTCAGCCTCTGTTTTCACTGTGCAGGAAACAGTAAGGCTTCCACTTCCTGGTCACAAACTCTCACTAGAACAGCTAAACAGAGCACTAAAATATGTTTCTAAAAACACTAGTTGTAATTTTACCGTTTGATCGGATTTCATTCTCAGTTTTAGAGAGGGGCGTGTCTGTCTCTTGATCTGCTTCTGTGCTGGGAGCGTTCGTTGATCCGATCTAATGTTCTACACTGAAATTAGAGCCCTATTGTTCAAAGAAACGGAGTGTTCTATTTCTGCATGAATTAACGACCGGTTAAGTTAGTCACACATTCACTCCACTCAGCACTGTGCTGCTCCATCTCCCCAGTCAGAGTGTCCAGAGTGCACTCTGCCACACCAAGAGTGCGGTGCTCTAAATCACCGAATAGTATATCTCAACAGCCCTCCGAATTTATGAACGGTCGAGTTTGTGTCAGAGTGCGCTCTGCTCAAAAGAGAAAGATGTATGAGTAGTTGTCATGTGAGATGTTACCCTTTTATAGATGATGTTCTTAAAGATATTTCGGCCAAGTTCGGAGCCAGCAGACAGAAGTGCAGAGTCAACTGATGACATCACAGCAGCAGCAAGTGCTCCCATACCGACCAGCGAGATGTAGAAAGGGCAAAGGTGCTGAAGGGCAATTGGTAAGATCATACCAGCTTTGCCCCGCTCATACGGGCTGGGTGAACTGTAGGTGGTCTGGTTCCAATCTGACAGATAGAAAGCACAGGTAATTAAAACAAACCTATGACTTTGAGATTTTGTAGAATACGTCAGCAATTAAATAAACATAACTGTGGCCACATACAACACGTAGATGAGTTTGAACCAGGGGCGGACTGGAACAAAAAAAACCCCATCCCTGACATTGTGGTCCAAATCAGACAGGGTTTTTTTCAACATATGGAGCACACAAACTAAGTCAGGGGTCACTTTCCTTTATTCTGATGAATTATGCACAAATTTAGGTACAGATTTGTCTTTTCTGCATCAATTTATGGTAATCGTCGCACTGCGCAGGCACGTCACTTCGCAGCAAGTTAATTAGGAAGATAGAAACGCATACCATAACGGCCAGAAATACGTCCTCAAACCTCTGCTCTGAAACACCTTGGCTACTATGACCGACAGCACAACAACGCAAAGCTGCAGGAAATACACCCCACCAAAGCCATTGAGGTCGGCTGTAAAGCTACACTGACTAAACAACCAAAACTGGATTTTAATTGTGGACAGCTGCAGCTACAAAGATGTAATGAAGCTTGTGGCTGGATGTGTGGTGGATGAAATGTTGTCTATCGGGCAAAGCCTTGGGAAAATACCAGATACAAGCATCTGAAGACCCCCAGGTACAGAAAACCCATCTAGCATTCGCTACACTTAATGCCGATTACCCTGACCCTGACATTCACACAGAGGCACACATCTGAATTTTGGGGAGATAAGCAACTACCAGTTTTACGGAGTGTAACGGAAAGGTAATATAAGGATATGTCATTAAGCTAGTTTTCTGTCTCTGTCGAGTAGCTGTCCATTACAGGAAACAGCACTTTAAAATGAAAACTCTGTGCTGGAAAATCACTGTACTTAAAATAAAGTGTGTTTTTAACAGTTTGTCAGTCACTTGCAATCCATACAGAATGGACCCGCAACCCACCAGTCGGGAACCATTGGCTTAAAGGGTCCAAACAATCTAAACAACAAAATTGGCCTACAGTTTCTCCATGCCTCCCTTGCACTTTGCCTTATCGATTTTGGCACTTTTTTGTTGCAGATGTTGTTTAATGAAGGCACTGAGACCAAAGGGGAAGGGGTTTAAAGATGCGACACGGCCAGCCCAGTGTCAACCAAGAATATAGAATAAAGTCAGCTATAGAAAATAGGCCGATCTACCTGCTTTCAACAACTATGGAGAGAAGACAGTCAAGTGGACCCAAAAAGCATGTTTGCCCACTAGGGAAATGCCCACTATGCCAGATGGACAGTCCATCCCTGGTTCGTGCTACTAATGCTATTACAGATTTGTGTACTCCAAGATAGCAAAGACAATGAGAACACAGTTAAAGCATAGTACTGGTAGATGCTGCTGCTGCCCCAATGATGAGTGATGGGATGGCGAGGATTGGGCATAATACTGCTCCAGCATAGCAGGTGATCTTAGCTTGGGCGTCCGTGGCTGTGGACAGGATTCTCTGGTAGAAGGCCTGGTAGCAGAGCCCTCCAATGGACTTGGAAAGAAATGAAGATAGGATTTCTTAGGTTGCTGCAACAGTGTTAATGTTGGTGAAACTTTGCTGCAACAGTGTTTCAAAGTATCAGCATCAATAATGAACGACATTTATGTTCCTATAACAAAAGTTTAACTCTTTCTTGATCTTGCATATTTACTACGGAAGAAACGAGTTACGAGTGTCCCATTACCAGTAGCAATAGGTCATCTACCCAGCAACCTGCGTCCTTCAGCTCCAACTTGCCGATCCATGGCTTCTGATACAGCTCGGTTACTGCAGCAACAGTCATGTTTGCAGAGGTCGGGCTTGACAGGATGAAAGGCACACAGAGCCACTGAAATAAGGAGACAATCAGATACATAGTTTAGTTACTAATACAGTATATCAGTCTTGCATAGCTCTATAGATACAAAATAGTACTCACATCAACAGAGGTACACCAGCTACTGTGTCATGTAGATGTAACTGCAGCTGCACTAGCTTTATTCAGCTCAAAGCATTTGCTAATCAGCATGTTTACATGCTGGTGTTTAGCAGCTCTAATGTTTACCGTGTTCCCTGTTTTAATTATTGTACTTGCATGCTAACATTTGCTAATTGGCACTAAATACAAAGTACAAAGTGGAGCCATGCCGCCAGCAGGGTTATTATCATAAACTATAAATGACGATAAATGAGGTACAGAAGAGCAAGGAAATACAGTAAGAGCTGGACGGAGCAGTGAGTGACAACCCCAACAGTGCTGTTTGCAGTGGAAACGCTAGGGTCTAGGTACCATGTCTGAAGGGTTACTTTTGGTTCCAAAGGTACCATACTGAAAGTGTTTGGTGGAAATGGGGCTGAAGAGACTTACGGACACCTTGCAAAATACTCCAAACATCTTTCATACTTTCTGTGACAATAGTTGTCTCCAGGATCATATTTTGCCGTGATGACACGCAGAAACGAACAAAGACTCACAACTAGCCAGCTAGGTCGGGGTGAAATTTCAGTTTTCTTTTCAGTTTGGTACTATTAAAGAGTTCAGAGATAAAGTTGATTCCCAAATTTAAGATTTAACATTATGGTCGTTCCTACGTCGTTCTCAAGCCATGTATTTTTTTTTGTGAATATGTAGCTACATACTTCTGAGACATTATACTTGACTCTAACAAAAACAAACAAAAATAAATAAATTTGAAAAGTCAAAACTAAAATAGAATAAAAACTAATTTAAAATTCAATGCTTTGAATTTTCCTAAAAATGTAATGTTTGTACCAAGCTGAAGGCCATAAAGTTGAGCTGGATGACATCAGTATACGCCACAGAGTACAGTCCGCCCAATAACGTGTATATAATAGCCACAGCAGCAGAGACGCTCACAGCCAGGGAGGAGGAGATATCCATGACTACGCTTACCGTCCCTCCTGTAACCACAAACAAATATTCAGAATGAGAACTCAAATTCAGGTGCTGAAGCAACAACCTAACATTGATGCCATGTATTTTTTTTAACTATTAAAAAATAACTCATAGCACTTTTTCAGAAAGAACATGGCACCAGTGCTGTTACTAAACAGCATTTACAGTTGTACTGTAAAAAGCATATTTAAATACCAAACTGGCTGAAAACGTGAAAAAAAATATTTGTTCCCTTTTAACACCAGAGCAAACATTTCTCTGTCTGTGATTATGGTACAAAATACAGCAATATTTATACTCTTGAGATTTCAAAACTTACCCAGTGCACCAAGAATGCATGCTATCCACAGAATATCGGCAAGGAGAGCGGGAATGAAAAGAACAGCAGCCACAGTGTTGCCATATTTTTCCTGAAATGGGTCCATGATGGTGACATACTTCTTCGACCGAATAGGTTCGACAAAGAAGAGTGCACCTGAAGTCACACAAACAAAAACAAAACAATTAACTTTCAGCATTTGTTTAATTTTGAAAGAGTTGTCAGTCTGACATATCAAACACCAGTAATGTCCTTCTGTAATATTTTTGTAAAAGTATTGTACTACTGTTTCCTGAGCAGTTTAGGGTTTCACCGTGTCACATATAAGCAGTTGTGTTTGACCTCACTCACCTAAAATCATGTTTAAGGCGAAGGCAATGGGTCCGGTGGCCCACACCAAGCCCTTTGTTGGATCATAGACCACTTCAGCATTACCCAAAATATAGCCTCCTCCCACCCAAGTGGCTGCAATACATCAGGGGACACACAGGCAGTGAAAAAGACAAGGAATAAAACTAGGTCCACCCACTGAAAATGAACTGAGTTAAATTAACTGGTGCAGTGTACGTCCAAAACATGTCTGCTTAGAGCGGGATGATTGCTTGGCCTATGGTATTGCTGCTTGCAGCTTTCTCGAAAAAACGCCTATACTGTACACTGCACTTCCTTGAGTCTATTCCTTGGCTATAGATTAATTAGCTAACTATAGATAGGAACACCACTAGGTCATACCTACGGCTGGACCATGTATGAAATGCTAGACTATGGCTTTCAATTTGAAATAAGAGGTGGCAGCATTCACACAGTTACAGACTTTCACTCACAGCAGTGGATGCTGTTCAAAAAATACAAAAGTAAGTACATGCTTGATTTCTTTCAAAAACACGGGAGGAAGGCAATGAGCAACTTTAGAAGAAATGGCCCAAAAACCAACAAGAAGTTGGGGGGAAAAAAGTTTTAAAAAAATTACTTGAAAATTAGTAATAAAAAAAAAAATACATCACCTGGGAAAAAAAGGTGCTTAAGGAACAGTGTCAACATTTAACAAAGGTGATGTTACAAAATTGGGCTCCTTTATAACACCAACAAAACAACTGGCTTCAACTTGATAGATTTTCCTCACATATACAACATGCTAATATTATTAGCATAAGCCTATAACATTTTTTGTTGCATAAATTAGCCTAGGGGCTAGCAGAATTTTCCTTTACTCATATGAAACCAGGATAAATCACACAGAAGATTTAATATGCTATTTTGTGGAGGCTTTACACTGTTCTGTTTCTTATCTGTGAGTAAATAAAAGCTTCGTTTTCTCTGAGGGGGCGGTTTTTAGTTTACAAAAACAAACAGGAGGGCTGCGCCAACCGACATTGACTCACAATGGCGCTCTAAATGTGCTGTTCATTTCACAAGAGCATCAGCCAATGGGGAAAACACCAACACTTATGTCAGCATTCACAATGGTGTAACTTCACTGACAGATGTTTGTATTTCTATAGTGCTGGCCTGCATTCTGTGGTCCAACATGTTGCCATTCTAATTCACTGTACCCCAAAATAACTTACAAAAATATGCAACGCTATACTACTTACTTAGTGGGCCACTTGTTGTTCAGAGGAAAACACATATGGTTACGTTGCAGTTACAGATAATGACTGAAATACATAGGATGAATGGTTAGGACACATACACACACACACATACAGAGATTCCTCACTTTATAGTTAGATTAAAATTAAATCTTTTAATGATTTCAAAGTGAAATGCCCCTGAATTAATTGCTATTATGGACATTTAATGCCGCACTGATTGACTGTGATCATTTATGATGTTGTTACAATCATCATCATTACTTTTACCTGTCATAGTAAAGATGCTGACGCAGGTGTTTAGGTTCCGCCCTCCAACCATTGTAACTTCACTGCGGTTTCCAGTGTACTTCTTCTCTTCACGTTTGGACTTCCTGGATGACCAGATACCCGTGCCCAGTACGATCATGTAAAACACTCCTATGGACAGCAGTCCTGGCCAATTTACCGCCATCCTCAGGGTCTGTGTGGACAGACAAATGTATAGACCTTTTCATTTTTATATCTTCACTCTATTATTTGCTGAGGGTGAGGCTGAGGACAGGTCCTCTCAATACACACACACTTCTGGTGGGTCATAATAAGTGATGATTCAGAGGGATTTTATAGGAAAACCTTGCATTGTATGCTTTTAAGGACACCTACCAAGGGTGAAATGAGAGATGTTTTTGATGCATGGATGTATAGGTGCCTACACCTGAACTTCATTTAGTATCTCTCAGCCTGGCAACCTGAGAGATCCTAATTTGCAAATGTGAACTCTGTTTATTATAATAAAGTTTAACAAAATAGACAGACACTCTGTGAATTAATGTTTCATATTTGATGTTGTAGAGAAATACTACTAATAATTACACTCCTGCCCTGTCCTGACACATATATGCTCTGCACATTATGATCTGATGCACCAAGAGGCTGAAGTGAGATCAGCCTTTTGCGATCATCAGTCACAAAAGTCAATGAGAGAGTCTCCGGTAGCTTCGTAGGTATCCTAGTAACCTCTACTGACTTGTAACTGGACCTCCAGCGCCATAAAGTATCAGCAGAGAAAGAGCTCAGTTAACTTTGAGGATCAGGTTCTGCTGTAAACAAACACTGTTTGTTGGTGGTGCTCCGCTGTACATCATTTAACTAAGGATGAAATATCGCTGCATGCCTTGTTACACGCCTTCTCTTGGAGTTTTGATCTCAGGCAATTTAACCAGACATCAGAAACATTATGGGACAACTGGATGCCTTCCTCGGTGAGCAGCAGCACAGTGGAAAGGAAAGAGAGGCCTCAGACATGACTGATGAAAAAGGCTGGACAGGAGGAAACCCAATGGAGAGTTTCAGCCTGAGACTCAGAGACTGGGACTTAGTAGAAATCATAGCCAGAATAATGGATGCTTGGACTACATTTTGTTAGACGTATTAAATGACATTCTGGATATCTGTTTGTGTTTCAGAGGAACACCAGAGCTTTTAGGATTTAATTACTTTCCAAGACATAAAAAGATGGAAGTGAAGAACGAGAAAGGTGTAGTGGGATTAAGCGTTACCTTGAATTTAGTTCCGTAGCAACAAGACATGGACGACCTCCCAGTCAAATATGCTGGTCTGTCTTACCCAAAGATCACCCTGTCACGTAAAACTCTGGACGTCTACCTCAAATTGGTGCTGCTGCTGCTGCTGCAGGGTGTGAAGCGAAATCAAAGTTTAATGCAACATTGTCCTATAACGACAGAATTGGACAGGTTGCCAAACTTCTCGTCTCAGGCGGGATCCTCTTTCTTTTTTAAGCTGCCTATCCCTGCAACCCAAGGACACACTCGGCGTCACAAGGTGAGATCAACATTGCAGAAAGATTGGCAGATATGTGTACACAGTGGTGCCATGAGTTTCAGTAGTAAATAACTGTGGTGATAAATTCATTCTACAAATCAAATTTATTTTTATAAATTTATTTTTTGGAACTATGTCAGTTCTGCTGCCCTGGAATGAGAAAACGAGACATCAGTCAAAGCCACAAGGAGATGCTTGTTGTTTTTAGCACTCTTCTTTAAGAAAAAGAAATGTTTTTTCCGTGTGTAACATGCTGTGAAAATCATGCTGACTGTACTCTTAAGTAGCAGTGAATCAGAGATGTCTTTGCTGTTACTGCAGATGTATTTGTCACTGTTCTTCCTGAAGATGATGTCAGTATTTTCATCTTTCTAAACCCTGGTGATGTATTAGTGGAACAGGTCTCATTCCTGCTTTAGTTACTCTGCAGGGATGCGCTCAAAAAGTGGTGTGTCTGTAATCAAGAAGCAGTGTGGTCACTCATGCTCATTGATTATATACAAGCATTCACACGCCCAAACAAGCATACATGTATAAAATAATCAAATTCAGCCCACTTATATCAGCTTTTCTTTTCCCTCCAGCTGTCACTGGCTGATGGAGACAGAACTTTGCCTCACTGGATGGTGTTTAGGCAACAGATTAGCACTCTAGCTGGCCTGGCTCTGACTGAAGATTGTGGGATATACCACCTTAAAGTGTCTGATATTGAAGAGCAGTGTGCTGCCTACTTCTACCTGCACATTCTAAACAGAACATTGACTGACAAGGACCAAGCAAGGTAAATATGACAGTGTTTTTTCACTCTACATAATGCTTTTCATTCACCGTATCAGTGTTTAATTGGCTCTTAGAGATGACAGTGTTAGTCGGGGAAGACAAATGTTGATGCAATAATTTCATGTGGTTTGGTCTGTGAGTTTTAGCGGAGCTCTGTAGACCCTTTTAGGGCCGACGTCACAATGACGTCAGTTTGTTAGCTGGAGGCAAAACAGGACTCTCCACCACAGGGCTGTGGGCTACACAGGAGTCTAAAGATGTCATCTTGTTGTGTTATTGGGAGCCAGAATAGAAGGAGTCATGGCTCAAAACTCATGGTGATCATCAAAAATGCTTACATGTGCAGCGCACACTTCATATCAGGTTAGGGAAAAAGTATTTACTGCTGTAGGGTTCAAATAAACACAAGAAGTTTGTGCTCTAGAGAAAGGATCAACACTCAGTGAAAAACCTAAGCCCTATGATAAGCTAATATGGCAAGGCTTAACTATACAAACCAATGAGCAGTGATAACTAGCATGTCTTTGGGGTCATCGGGTGGGAACCTCCTTTCACCAGTGTTTCGTCTAGTTGGTCCCACAACACCTCCAGGAGGCTAGACAGTGATCTCTAGCGTCCCAGAGACACTCCCCTAATGCCAGGTCTCACTGCTCCCCACACTAACCGAACAACCTCCTTTACCTTACCTATACTACCACAGAGGAGGTAGACCCAGGGAAGGAAGCCTTGTTAGGCTATCACACTCCCCCGCCGGGTTAGGCTGTACAGTCTACCTCCCCAGGACGAGCCCTCACAACAATGACACCTCCAGGAGGCTGGACAGTGATCTCAGCCCAAACAGCACTGCCAACTTCAACCAAGCCCAGGCTCCGTTTATGCGAGCTCCAGGCAGAAGCAATGCTGATACTACCTTTACTAGCACATTCACCATACTCTATTTCACACGCTACATAGCATAACTACAATGTAAGCTAAAGTTAAAGGAGATAAATGAACTCACAGGATCAGCAAACACACTCACTTTGCAGCATGGTCTCAAACAAAATGGATTCAAATAGGCCACTCCCACACTTAAATAACCTTCCTCTTCCTGGATTTCCTTCTTACTTACACATGGCTTTCTCAGCCCAAACAGCACTGCCATCTTCAACCAAACCCAGGCTCCATACATGCGAGCTCCAGGCAGAAGCAATGCTGATACTAGCTTTCCTGTCACATTCACCATACTCTATTTCACACACTACATAGCATAACTACAATATAAGCTAAAGTTAAAGGAGCTAACTGGACTTACAGGATCAGCAAGCACACTCACCTTGCCGCATGGCCTCAAACAAAATGGATTCCAATAGGCCACTCCCACACTTAAATACTTCCTCTTCCTGGATTTCTCCTGACAGGAAGTGGATCTCTCCACCTGATCTCAAGGAGTTATGTGCCCTGCTTAGTAGTTCCCCCTGCTGGCCCCCAGCTGACATTATTTCTTCTGTAATAGATAAACTGGCTGCATTTAATTGCTTCATCTGACATTTCCCTCACTGTCTTCCTCAAATTCTGTCCCCGCACTCCGAGTTCCCCCAGGAGTGAGACAGTTGATCTTGCTATGAATCCCCTACACCCCACTTCCACTGGACAAATCCTAGTCTTCCATCCTCGCTGCTCAGCTTCTGCTCCTAAGTCTGCATATCTAAGCTTTTTTCTTTCATAGGCTTCTTCCACTGAGTCTTCCCAAGGAACTGTCAGCTCAATGAAATAAACTATCTGTTGACTCACTGACCACAACACTAAGTCAGGCCTCTGCCTGGTACAGACTATTTCCTGAGGAACAACAAGCTTTCCCCCTAAATCTACTTGCATTTCCCAATCACAAGCACCTTCTAGGCGGCCACACCCTTGCCTCCTCACTAACTTATCCCTTCTGTATTTCTCTCCCTCACGGACAAACTGAATTACTAAGCCCCTATCCTTAACACCTTCTGAATTCACCTGTCTTCGTTTCCCTTCGATGCCTGCAGCTAAACATTTCAACACCTGATTATGTCGCCATGTATATCGGCCTTGTGACAAGCTAACTTTACAGCCTGACAAAATATGCTTTAAAGTTGCGGTACGTGAACACAATGGGCATGATGGGTCCTCATTTACCCACAGTTTTAGGTTCTGGGGGGTTGGTAACACATCGTATGTAGCCCCTACCAGGAATCTAATACGATTCTCCTCCATACTCCACAGGTCCCTCCAACTAAGCTTCCTCTTCTCTACACTTTCCCAATTCAACCACTGTCCCTGTTTAGCCTGGGCCACTACCTTTGCACCCCTTACTATCTCTTCCTGTCTGCGTATCTGTTCTACAACCAGCTTTCTTTTATCTTTGAGGCCTGCTGTATTCCATACCGGTTTACCTGAGCCAAGCCCCAGGCCTCCCCGGCCAAACTGAACATTACCTACAATCTCTGCATGTCTAAGAGCTGCCTCTGCCTCCTGAACTGCCGATCTTGGGTTCCACTTCCTCCCCTTGGTTGGATTTGGAACCACACTCCTAACTACCACGTCCTTACTCCCAGATAACAAGAGCTCTGTCCTGACCTTGGTACATTTAAATTCCTCTGTTAAACTAGATACTGGCAGCTGAAGTATCCCTTTTCCATACAATGCAACACTACTTAGGCACCTAGGAGCGCCCAACCACTTCCTAATGTAGGAGCTAACCGACCTTTCCATTCTCTCCACAACAGATATTGGAATTTCATAAACTGACAATGGCCACATTAACCTAGGATATAGCCCAAATTGCAAACACCACAACTTCAACTTTCCTGGAAGTTCTGATTTATCTATTCTATCCAATCCTTCAGCCACATCTTTTCTAAATTTCACCACCTGTTCCTTATCATTCAACTCTACATTGTACCACCTACCTAAGCTCTTTACTGACTTTTCCCTAATTGTTGGGATGTCCTCATCATCTATGACAAACTTCCTATCACTTAACTTCCCTCTACATATCGAGATGCTTCTAGATTTACTAGGCTTGATTTTCATGCTGGCCCACTTGAGGTTCTTATTTACCTTCTCTAGTAGCCTCTTTGTACATGGCATTGTTGTGGTCACCAGTGTCATGTCATCCATGTAAGCCCTAACTGGTGGAAGATGCAACCCATTCTGCCGTCTCTCCCCACCTACCACCCACTTAGAAGCCCTGATGATTACTTCCATTGCCATAGTAAATGCTAATGGAGAAATTGTACACCCTGCCATGATGCCTATTTCTAGCCTCTGCCAACCTGTTGTGAAACCTGCTGTACTTAGACACAACCTAATATCCTGAAAATATGCTTTCACTAAGTTAACAACTACCTGTGGCACTCTGAAGTAGTCAAACGCACTCCAAATGAGGCTGTGCGGTACTGAACCAAACGCATTTGCAAGATCTAAAAATATTACATGTAGGTCCCTTTTGTTAATCTTCGCTGCCTGAATCTGGTGCCAGATCATGCTAGTATGCTCTAAACACCCTGAAAAACCTGGTATTCCTGCCTTCTGCACCATGGTATCTATTAAGCTATTCCTTTCTAAGTAGCTAGCTAGTCTCTGCGCTACTACACTAAAGAAAATCTTCCCCTCCACATTCAAGAGAGAAATCATCCGGAACTGGCTAAGGTCCACAGACTCCTTCTCCTTAGGAATGAGGACACCCCCTGCCCTACGCCATGCTCTTGGTATAATTTGCTTCTCCCAAACTATTCTTAGCTGTTTCCACAAAAATTTAAGGGTATCAGGCGCACTTTTATAAACCCGGTAGGGGACTCCATTAGGCCCTGGGGCCGAAGAAGCCTTTGCACGCCTGACCACCTCCTGAACTTCCTTCCACCTAGGTGGTCTGACATCCATCTCATGCTCTATCCCTTCTAATGGAGGGATATCGGGTGGGAAACCTACTATCCTATTCTTCTCTAAATCTGAATATGTATTTCTCAAATATTCTTCAACCTCTAGCCTTTCTGCTTTGAGCTGCCCTCCCTTTTCCTGGCTGAACAATCCTTTAACAAACTTAAAAGGGTCCCTGAAAAAACCTGTCCTTACATGTTCCTTCTTCCTCCTCTTTTTCCTGAGATGCTCTGCCCTTCTAAGAACTGCTAGCCTGCTTCTCAACTCCTCTTGCAACACCTTAATTCCCTCCCTTTCTTCTTCTGTAGCCTTTCTCCACACCTTTCTTAACTGTCTCCTTTCCTTGACTAGCTCCTCTATTTCTCTTTGCCGCCTAGATTTACCTGACTGTACCCTCTCACTCCTCTTTCTCTCATGCAACCCAAACCTCTCTACACCATATGAGTAAATTATATCTCCCATCTTTTCTAACCTTTCTATTGCATTTCCTCTAGCCTACTTAAGATTACTGACAAATCTCTATTAACTATCTCCCATTCTTTACTGTCATTTGCCCTAGGCCATCTAACTCTAGCCTTTTGCTCCATGGTTCTCTCTCTGACTGGCACACTGGCCTCATTGTCACCTGCATCCTCTCTTACTACCCCCTCCTCCTCCTCCTCAGTGGCAGCGTTACTGATATCCTGCGAACTGTGGTTTTCTACCTGC